CTGGCTTTTTCTCTTTATGTTGTACTGAGGAATCAAACCCAGGGTTTCATTCATGTTAGGTAAGCATTCTACCACTAAGCCACATTCTCAGCCCCAGAGCTACTATTTCTGAATGTATTATGGAGACGAGTTTGTTTCCAATGTAGACTGTGTCAAAAACGGCACAATTTTGTTTTTTCCCTTCCCCAAGCTAGAGAAGTGTATATACAAGATGCAGGGCAGCGACATCAAATGCAATGAAAACAGGGGTAAGAAGAAACAAGAAAATCACATGGTACATTATAAATACGTTAGGAACAATAGCAAGAAATAAAAAACCACTTGTATCCCTATCTTGGGGTTCATTTTGCTTAACATCATTTTATCTGGTCATATGTACATAGCTTTTGACCTTTTCTGCTTGATTTAGACATATACTAGTTATTGCAGATAAGGTAAACCATGGGACCTATGTTTCTTTGGGCCTGGCTTACTTCACTTAATATAATTTTTTCCAAGTTAAATAGGGATACAGGTTGACCCATTGTAACAATGATATGTACAAGACACTCTGTTGAAAAAGGAACTTTACAATTTAGGCGGGGAGGGGAAAAGGAGAGGGGGGAGTGTAGTTGTGGAGGTGGGAGGGAAGGGAGGGTAGAGGAAAAACAAAGTAGGCAACAATACTTGATAGGAAATGTACTCATGACCTTGCTCATGTAACTGTAATACCTGTATTTTTACAATAAAAAAAATATGTAAAAAAAGGCACAATTTAAAGCTGAGTGCTGGCAATTCAATCCTGTAATGCTAGCTTCTCAGCAGGCTGAGATCTGAGGATCTTGGTCCAAAGCCAGCCCTAGGCAGACAAATCTGAGAGACCTTTATCTCCAACTAAGCAGCAAAATGGTGGAGGTGGAGGTGTGGCTCAAGAGGTAGGGTGCAGTCTTCAGCAAAAAAGCTATGCAAGAATAAAAGGTGGTGAGTAAGACAGAGAATAGAACAACTAAAAAATAAGCAGACCAATCTAGGGGGAGAAGACTATAAAACTATATGATAGAAAAAGCATCTTGACTGATTCAAGTGAAGCAGTAGGTCAGCAATTGATGCCCTTGTTATAATACTTGGCAGAATCTACTCAGTATCAGGGAAATTCTTCACACTGTCTTTAGTTGAGAGCACAGGAGCTTAAAAATACTAACTACAGCAACATCAGGACAGGAAGCAATTTTACATGTACTTGACAAGAGAAACCACAATATCAAATCTCTGAGTTCCTAAGTCTATAAAGGATTTTAAGTCAAATAATACCAGTAACATAAGCCAGGCACCCTCATGCCTGTAATCCTAGCTACTCAGGAGGCTGAAATTTGAAGACCACGCTTCAAAGCCAGCCTGGGCTTTATTTGCAATAAATGGGAAGTGGCACCGTGGCTCAAGTGGTAGATACTAGCGTTAAGCTGAAGAGCTGGGGGACAGCGCCCAAGCCCAGAGTTCAGGCCCCACGATGCCCCACCCCAAAAGTAACATAACAGAAGACATTTCGTTAACGCCTATCTTTAAATATCCTCACAAAATAAAATTGTGTTCCTAAAAATGATCAAATAATGTAGAAACAAAACTTTTGAGTGTCAAGAGTACTCTTAAAAATAATGTTTAGTTTATGTCTCACACTAACACTGTATGGAAAGTTAAGTTTCCATTCCTATTCAACCCCACATGTGTATGCATGTGTGCGTGTACGTGCACACACATGCACGCACACACACACACGCGTGCACGTGTGTGCACGTGCGCACACACAACCTCCTCACGTATTCACATTGCTCACCACAGCGACGCATTTGTTATAATGGATAGACCTATAATGGCATAATATTATTACCTAACATTATGGTTCAGTCTCATTATTAAACATTCAGTGGGTTTACAGAAATGTATGTATCTGCCATAATAGTATGAAGATACACTATAGCAAAACCCTGTTTCAATGAAAAAAGAAAAATTAGGGGCTGGGAAGGTGGCTCAGTGGTAGAGCGCTTGCCTTGCATGCCTGAGGCCCTGGGTTCGATTCCTCAGCACCACATAAGCAAAAAGAAAAAAAAAGCCGGAAGTGGCGCTGTGGCTCAAGTGGTAGAGCGCTAGCCTTGAGCTGAAGAGCTGAGGGACAGCACCCAGGCCCAGCGTTCAGGCCCCACGACTGACAAACCAAAAACAAAACAACAACAAAAAAAAAAAGAAAAAAGAAAAATTAACTGTTGCTCATAAGTTAGAAACCTAAAAATTTGTTTACCATACAATAAAATGCAAGTGAAATGAATAAACTAATTACACACACAAACACACATATGCATCCTATACAAAGTTGAGTGATGAATTTGAGAAAAAAACAAAACAAAACAACTATGTTCAATTCCTTACCAGGTACACAAACTTTTAAGGACATAAACCGCATGTTACTGGGAATGTATAAATGTCAAAGACTGGGAACATGGATCAAGTGGTAGAATGCTTGCCTGGCTAACAGGAGGCCTTAAGTTCAAATCTTCCATATGGCCAAAAAAAGAACAAAACCAACCTTTTTATGTGTGCTGGTCCTGGGGCTTGAACTCACTGTCTGGGTGCTGCCCCTGAGCTGCTTTTACTCAAGGCTGGCACTCTACTACTTGAGCCACAGCTCTACTTTTTTAAATAAAAAGCGTCACTGGGAAACTGTACTTTTTACCTTACTTATGTAACTATAACCCCTCTGCATATCACCTTTATAATAACAATTTCTTAAAATAAAAAAATAATAATAAAGGTCAGAGTAATCACTTACGTGGTAGAGGGCTTGTCTAGCCCAAGATTTGATCCATCAAAAAAAGAAAAAAAATGTAAAAGCCTTAAAAACATAGAGAGATAATCACATACCATGAGAAAATTTACTTAGAAATAACATAAAAATGAAACCCTGGTGAAGTACATAAACACCATACACTTCATTTGAAATATTTTATTACTTGTAGTTAAAATACTTTTAAGGGAACTGTACACTCAGTGGCCTATACAGCAATCCTATCTACTCAGGATGCTGAGATCAGAGGATGTTAGTTTAAAATCAGCCAAGGCAGACCAATTTGAGAGACTTCTATCACCAATTCATTGGCAAAAAGCTGGAAACGATGTGGCTCAAAAGGTAAAGCACCAACTTTGAATGGGAAAGCCATGCAAGAATTAGAGGCCCTGAGTTCAAGTCTCAGCACCTGCACTAAACAAGTGAATAAATTAAACATTTTAAGGAAACATAAGAAGATACTAATAATTGTCGATTCTAAGGGTATAATCTGTAATTCAAAAAATATAACACCAGTACTTTTATTTTTACTACAATGGTTAAAAGGAATTAAGTAATAAGGAAACAAATTTCAGAAATTATCCCCCAAAATGCAAACATTCAAATATTCCAATAACCTACAGAAAATTCCCCTAAAACATAAGAAGTCTATCCAGTAGAAAAGTGTCACGCTAAGCCAGTTTTACAGGAGAAATCCAACAAATGTTCCAGAAACAGTCTTATCTCTATCTATGAAGATAGTATATCCAGATAGAAAGCCGAGCTGTATTACTGGCATTCCAGATTCAGCAATCTATCAAAATTGTATCATCCCAGGGCTGGGGGTTTAGCCCAGCCCGGCGAGCGCAAGGCCCTGGGTTCGGTCCTCAGCCCTGGGGGGGGAAAAAAGCTACAAAAGACCAAAAAAAAAAAAAACCCCCAAAACCAATAAACAAGGCAACAGCAAAATTGTATCATCTTGCTTGAGTATGATTTAAAAAGAGTATATACACGAATCAACATTAAGAAGGCGATTTTTGTAATGCACTTCACTAAGAAATTAAAATTTTTAACTAGATTATACAAAACAAATTATTGAGTCATATAACCTTCCTTATGTTTAGTTCCAAGGGATTTGTATTGAATTATATAAATCAGGTATCTTTTAGTCAAAAGTGTCAGTGGCTCATGCCTGTCATCCTAGCTACTCAGGAAGCTGAGATCTGAGATTCCAACCCCAGGCTGATATGCCCATGAAACTCATCTCCAATGAATCACTAAAAATCCAGAAGTGGAGCTATGGGTCCAGTTGTAGAGCACTAGCCTTGAGCAAAAAAAAAAAAAGCTCAGGGACAGTGGCCAGGCTCTGAAGCTCAAGCCCCAGCACTTGCACAGAAATAAGTATAATAAAAAAATGAAAAAGTCAATATTCATGCTCAAAAATGTTGAACTTAACGCTCAAGTTCAGTTGAGATGGAGAAAAAGTGCCCAGGCTGATTAAAATGTAGATGCACGTGCGAAATGGCTTGGTGAAACCCCTTGGAACGATCAGCACGTATCAAAAAAGGTCTGAGGAAGGCACGTGCTCTGCACACATGCTCTGCACACACGGACCACCGGTCCAAAGGGAACTTCCTCTCACCACTACTCCATGCTAATCGGGGGAGGCCCGGGGCGGGGCTGGCCAGGGTGGCGGGTGCGGGAAGCCCAGCGTCAGGGGCCCAGCAGCAGAACTGTAACCTGTAGAGAAACGAGACCCGGTCTGAGCTTCAGGATCCTGTTTAAATTTAAAAAGAAAAAGTCACCAGAGGCTCAGTGCCTGTAATCCCAGCTACTCGGGAAGCTGAGACCTGAGGATCGCGGTTCGAGGCCAGCCCGGGTAGCGCAGTCCCGGGGACTCTCATCTCCCGTTGATCGCCACCAAAAGCTGGAAGTGAGGCTGCGGCTGCAAAAGGCTTAGGGACAGCCCCCAGGCCTCGGGTTCCAACGCCAGGACCGCTCCCCACCCCGCCCCCCAAAACATTTACAAAAGGAGTGCTAAAGGTCAAGTGAAACCCTAAAACGAAAGTAAAGGAGGCAAGCCACGCGAACTCCCCCCGCATCCTGGGACACCGCAGTACCACCCCGGCGACCACCGAGCCCGGCGGAGCCCCGCCCACCGCCGCGCCCCGCCCACCGCCGCGCAGGCGCACACGCGCCAGGGACGCAGCGGCGGAAGATGGCGGCGCCGAGCTTCCCCACGCCTCTCTATGGACACGTGGGTCGCGGCGTGTTCCGCGACGTGTACGAGCCCGCGGAGGACACGTTCCTGCTGCTGGACGCGCTCGAGGCTGCAGCGGACGAGCTGGCGGGGTGCGAGGAGAGCGAAGGCAGCAGCCGGAGAGGGGATGGGAGGTGTTCCGGAGAAGCGGCGGCCCGGACAGGCGCCAAGCCCCGGACCGCACTCAGCTCCAGGGGCGTGGCCTGGTGCGGGAGGCGGGACCTCGCAGGGGCGGTGATTGACAGCGAAAGTCGCGAATGAGAGATTTTCTAGTGTGCCAGGCGTCTTTCTCTGGCAGAGGTGTTACTGTAGGTCCTTGAGCTGTAGCTGGTCTCGAATTTATGACCCTGCAGTGACTGGAGTGCCACACATTTGGAAATACTGCTTATTACTAACATGAGGTGTGCGGAGGGTTTTGGGGGGTTTGTTTTGGGTAAATGTTTAAAAGTCAGCTAGGCTGGTTTGATTTTTTTCAGGACAAGCAAGGCATCCTTCCCTGCTACTAAAAGACAAGAACCAGAAGAGATAAGGAGATGAGTTTTAGGGTGGCGGTGTGTTCAAACCGCTCAATGACGTACTCTGAACCAACAGCCGTCAGCCCTACGTGGGTGCTGAGCCCTTGACACGTTTGCTAGAGCAAATGAGTTTTTCATTTAACTGAAAAATTGAGTTGTGCCAGGCGCTGGTGGCTCAGGGCTGTAATCCTAGGACTGAGGAGGCTGAGAGCTGAGGATCGCGGTTCAGGAAAGGCTGTGAGACTCAGTGGGGCTGTAGCTCAAAGTGGTGGAGGGCCAGCTTTGAGCAAAAGAGCTCAGGGACAGCACGCTGAGTTCAAGACCCATAGCCACCCCCCCAAAAAAAAATTGAGTTGCATGCAGTTAGAATTGTTGTGACAGATTTGAAGTTACACATAAATAAAACCACCTACAGAACCTATCCTAGCTTTCCAATTTGGAATTGCTTGCTAAACTGATTTTAAATTAAAATTAGAATTTAATGCCCAAAATATAAATACACTAATTTTCTGATTAAAAGAATCCGGTCCCCAAGATTTAATGATCTAGACTTGGTCACAGTTTCCTTAGAAGGATACAAAACTCAGGTTTCAAAGCCCTTATATGTTATTTATCAGTCTTAAAGTTACTCATATTTTTCCATGTATAAACTTGTTCATCATAGACGATGGAACCTTTGAATTTACTGTAATATAGTATGGAACAGTACTGTTTTATAACTTGACTTTTATTCTCAAGATATCCCAGGTGCAATGCACAAATAGCATTGCAAAGCATGTTGTAAAAGAAGCTGATTTTATTATAAAATCTAAGGTATTTCCAGTCTTGGAATTCTAATTATGAGATCATGATATTTTGACAGAGAAGCTATTGGTAAGATTTATAGCCCTTACAATGGCCCATCAAAGGCTTCTCAGTTGCATGAACAAGTACAAGTTGCAAAGTTAAATATACGTATATATATATATATATATATATCTTTTTGTTGTGTAGTTGAGAAATTAAGAGCTAGAAAAGTCCCCTCTCTTATCAAGCCATTCTTTGAATGATAATTTAAAAAATAAACACATGTACAAGATTATAAGCAAGGAATAAACTTAGTTGAAAGATATATACAATAGAATGAAGATTTTATTTAACATCATTCTAAGATCAGGTACTCATAGTTTCTTGTTACAGTATATTGCTGTACAAATATGCTATATCTTTGCCACAATAAACCTATTAATAAACTGGGGAACTTTTTTTCCTAGGATACAGCTGAATTTATGAGGGTTAATGTAACAAACTACTTTCATGAATAATTTTGAAATAAAGTTAACCCTGTCATAATTGGAGCTCTTTGTGAAATGGTATCTTTTCTATCAGTATCTGCAACCTAAACTAATATTACCCTGCATACTTTACACTAAGTTTTGTTGAAATTGGGTACCACCTTTTGCAATCTATATATATTTTATAGACATACAATATGGCACAGACTCAGAGTAGTAGAAATTTTGAGAAAATGCAGTATTAATCAAGTGCATGCCAGAAAGCATGAAAGTTACTTTCTTTAGTGTATTTACTACTACTATAGTAATACTTTGTTTCATTTTTTTAGAGTGGAAATTTGCCTGGAAATAGGGTCAGGGTCCGGTGTGGTGTCTGCATTCCTTGCATCTATGATAGGTCCTCAGGCTTTATACATGTAAGTCCCTAATTTTCATCCAAATCTTCTGCTGGGAAGTTCATTATGAGTATGACCCCTTGAATAGGTTTTATTTTAAAGACAAAGGCCCTGATTGCTAAGTATGCCTACCCCTAAATTAAAACTTTTATGTTCAAACTGCTCCATCATACTATATAATGGTAGAAGCAACATAATGTCAAGTGGTCTCTGAATTTGAGTCTTTCTTAGGTAAATAATTTGATTATTAGAAAATTGAAAACTTGCTGAGGGCTGGGAAGGTGGCGCAGTGGTAGAGCGCTTGCCTTGCATGCATGAGGCCCTGGATTCGATTCCTCAGCACCACATAAGCAAAAAGAAAAAAGCCAGAAGTGGCGCTGTGGCTCAAGTGGTAGAGCGCTAGCCTTGAGCTGAAGAGCTGAGGGTCAGCGCCCAGGCCCAGAGTTCAGGCCCCACGACTAGACGCAAAAAAACAAAACAAAAAAAAACTTGCTGAAATTTCTTTATAGAAAAATTGAAAACATACAACATAGAAAAGAGTAAAACAGCAATAAATTTTATCATGCATAATAAAATTTAAAGTGTGTTTCTTGTAGGGTTTTTTTCTATTTCTTGCTTTTCAGTGGCAGCATAGAAAAATTCCTTCAAATGTGAAGTATGGATATGTATTCTCTTGCACATTAGAATGAGTTTTTTCCTTATTTTCTTACTGACACATTCTAATTTTTTCCCACTATCTGCTCCTTGTAATTTATTTTTGATTTTTTTGTATTGTTTTCTCTGGTTTCAATTCAGGATTTTCTCTTACTCAGCTGACACTCTACTACTTGAGCCACATACTTCTGGCCTGCCTTCTTTCTGGTTATTTGGGAAATGGAGTCTCAGAGGACTTTTTTGCCTCATCTGTGATCCTTCAAACTGTGATCCTCTGGATCTCAGCCTTCTGAGTAGCATGAGCTACCAGCACCTGCCTGACTGTGTAGATTGAAAAGGACATTTGTTGAATTATTTAGGAACAGATTTGTCTCATGCATATATAGTGTGTATGTTTGTGTCATACAATTTTCTCTTTTGTTGTATAGGTGCACTGATATCAACCCTGATGCAGCAGCCTGTACCCTGGAGACAGCACGCTGTAACAAAGTCCAAATTCAACCAATAATTACAGATTTGGTGAGCTGTTGATTCTTATCTAATAATCAGTTTCTTTTTAAAATAAGCTAAAATCAGGATGTTCTAACCTAAAAGAAACTTTGCTAATTAACTTTTGACTCACTATACTTTATACAAAACAAATTCTTGACTAATATAACCCATCTTCTTTGTACTTCAAAGGAAATTTGTACTGGCTTATGTAAGTCAGGTATCTTTAACCCAAATGGTTTTAATTTAAAAGTTGGTAGCTTCAGGAACAGCTGGCTCCAGAAATTTAATGAGATTACACACACTTTTTTTTCTTACCTCTGAACTTCTCTCTGGTGGCTGTTTGCTTAAGGAGTCTTCTGCTTCATATTAGCAACATGTTCCAATGACCATATCTTACTTCTCAGCAACTCCAGAAAGAAAGGAATGTTCTCAACTTCATTGCTCCATCAGAAGACTCCAAATGAGTATTTGGATCAGTTTGGGTATACCTATCTCTCAGTCTGGAATAAGGAAGTGATCAACTTTAACCCAGGTCACAAGCCAAGTTATCTAGACCCACTTGGATTAAGAATAACAGGAGGAGCTGGAGTCAAGTGGCTCATGCCCATAATCCTAGCTACTCAGGAAGCTGAGATCTGGAGGATCACAGTTCAGCATAAGCCCTGACGCTGAGATTCTTTATCGCTAATGAATTACCAAAAAGCCAGAAGTAGAGCTATTGCCCAAGTGGTAGAGCACTAGCCTTGAACAGAGAAGAGCATGCGCGTGCACACGTGCACGCACACACACAGAGACAACAGGTGGTAGAGCTTCTCTGAAATAAGTCCAGAAGATGTAATCAGAAGAAACGGGGAATGGGTCCTGAGCAAGAAAAGGCAATAAATGACCACTACAGAACAATTTTTTATTTATTTTTTTTGTCGGTTGTGAGGCTTGAACTGTGGACCTGGGCGCTGTCCCTGAGCTCTTCAGCTCAAGGTTAGCACTCTACCACTCGAGCCACAGCACCACTTTCGGCTTTTTCTGCTTATGTGGTGCTGAGGAATCGAACCCAGGACCTCATGCATGCAAGGCAAGCACTCTACCACTGAGCCACCCTCCCAGCCCCCTCAGAACAACTTTTTAAAAAAGATGTTGACATACATTTTTAAGTTGCCTTGTTAAAAATATTTTAATGATTTTAATAAGGCTTGGATAACTTCATTTGTGGAGGAGTTTCAGTTATAAATGTGAAATGCCTTTTTATAAGCAAAAATTATAAAAACTTGACAGTTGGACATAAGAAATATAAAACACCTCCTGTATCTTGACCTGTTCTTTATAAATATTGCTTTCTTGTTTTTTTTAATATAAAAATGATGTCTCTGAAGGAATCCAAAAAAGACACAAAGTCATTATTGCCAGTAAAATTTAGAGTATCAACAAAGGTACTCACCTGAGATCAGTGTGGTGATTTTTAAATTTTTTTTATCTTGGTTTTTAGTATGTCCATAATTAGTATTATGTGTTTTTTTATGAAGCAGTAAAACTTCAGAGACAGAATAATCTATTTTTACGTATATAGAAACTGAGCTGAGGAATCTGTTTGAAAGCCATAAAGTTAATAAAAGTTTAAATCCAGAATTAAAGCCCAGATCTTGTCTCTTAAGAGTTATTTCTATTTCCAGAAAGTAATACTGATTTTCCATTCATAGTAAGAAATGGTAGTACAAACCCTTCTTTCACCTTTACCTAACCAAAAAGGCACATTTAAGGAATGATAATAAATAAATAATGTTAGTGAAGTTTTAGGTAATGCCTTCAGACATTTGAGTGTTCTGTGAATTCCTAGGTAAGAGTACAGTAAGGGTAATTGAAGGAAATGGATTGGGGGATGAGATCGCTTCCAAACAAAGTACTTTTACTTTCCTACTCCTGTGAAGGCATAATGAAGCATGATTTTTAAAATATTTAGTTATTTAACTGAATCAGAGGAAATATTTTGAAGGCACTTTACCCTAAATGTACTTTCTTTAAAAAGCATTTCTGTTGCTCCACAGAAAAATTACATTTAAAAATTTTCAAAATGCCAGTTGCTATTTTCAATGACATTCATTCTTTCAGCCAATATATCTACAAATAAAGAAAAACAAAAAGTCCATCCACTGTTGGAATGATGTTTTCCTTCATTCAGATGTATTTTCTGTAATTCATATATTTCGCGTGGCTATAGAAAATACCACTTAAATTAGTAAATACTGTAAATATATATTAAAGAATAAAAGTTTTATTATTACTCAAAAAATGAACTAGAGTGTCAACAATGTACTATTAAAACCAGAGGCTTTGGTGACCAGTGTCTTATTTTTAGTTGAAATTCATATTATCTCCATCTGAATGAAGATGTATTGACATTCATTTCTGCCTAGAAATATAGCTCCATCAACATTTTTCTTCTAAAAACATAGAATATTTTTAACATTTTTATAATTTAATTATAAATATTGTAAATTAATTGTAATTATAAATTATTATAAATTACTATTTAATAATTTAAATTGGATAATTTTTAGGTCAAAGGCTTGTTACCACGACTGAAAGAAAAAGTTGACCTGCTCGTGTTTAATCCCCCCTATGTAGTGACTCCACCTGAAGAGGTAAGGTGTAGCAGTGTTCAAATTAGTAATATTTTAACTAGCTTGTTTCTGAAGAAAGGTAGAATTCATCACATAGCATTAGTCCCCTGCTGCTCACACACTGCTCTGATTTTATCCTGATCATTAATCAGGATTGTCAATCAAAGCTGATAATCAGATTCTAAGATTCTAATGATTGACATAGGAAAGGAACTTAAAACTAATGAAGACAAGTTGTGATGCATAGAAAGAATTCTTACACAAATTAGTCAATGGTGTTTAAGTTCATATATTCGTATATCTGTATGTGTGTCAGTTATCATAGATAACAAATGTATAAAACATAGTAAATTATATTTTTTAGGCAACCATAAATTCACATGGCAATTTCTTCTGGAAGTCTTCTCTCTTTCACAGGTATCAGAAAAGTATACAAGTAAGACCACCTCTCATTTTAAGTAGAGAAAGGAAAAAAGTTGTAATATATCATTTTTTAAAATCACAATAATGAAGGGATACAAACCATATTAACCTCTTCCCAGGAAAGACCAAGGCAGACAAAGTTTGTTAAGTGACTAGGATGAGGTTCCTTTAAACATTGTTCCTCTCTCATTCTTCCATGGTTATTTTCTGGCAAAGCTAATAAACATTACTCATTGCAACAATGAGACTCACAAGACACTATGTTGGAAATGAACTTTACAACTTGAGTGGGGGAGGGAAGGGTAGTAGGAGAAAAACAAAAGGGGGGGTAACAATGCTTGATAAGAAATGTACTCATTACTCATGAAACTAACCCCCCTGTACATCTTCACAATAAAATAAAATTTAAAAAAAAATCAGCAAACTGTTAAAGCAAGCAAAAGAACAGGGGGAAAAAAATTACACTTATTTCTACACCGAGATGGAAGAGATTTATTTGGCTTTTAAGCTACTGGCTCTACTGACACATGAACTCATGAGAGAGAAGGAAATCCTTGTGACAAGGTGGGGCATCTTAATCCATTCTCTGTTACTTTAACACAGTGTCACCACTGAGCAGTTTACAGAGAAAACAATTCATTTCTCACATTTCTGGAGGCTGCAGAGTCCAGCATCTGGGTGCTAGCCTCTGGGGTGGACCTCTGTGCTGTCTTTGCATGGAGGAGGCACCAACAGATCTGTCTCACCTTTCCTAGAAGCCACTAAGCTCACTATGGAGCCCTACCCTCAACCTTACACAACCCTAATTATTAACCTCCAGAGACTACACCTCCAAACACTATTAACCTATGAATTTCACTTAGGCCTTGAGAAGACACATTCAGACCATAGCCTGAGAAGTCCCAGTTGAGACTCAAGAAAGCACTGAATAAATGTGGCACCCTAATTCCCATGAGCTAAGCAATTAGCTAAGAGAGTAGGGCTAAGGTAAGTATAACAGATAGGCCTAGTAGGTTAAAAGAATGTTTTACACAGTAAAGTACTAGGAAATACAAAAAATACCAGTCAGTGGTCTGGAAACCAAATAAAATGTCAGGTACAAATACCTGTCAGAAGGACACAATCTGTAATCTAAATGGTACTTGAGCCAAAAGAAAACAGCATTTCTTCTACTTGGCCACAGGTAGGAAGTCAAGGAATAGAAGCTGCATGGGCTGGTGGCAGAGATGGTCGGGAAGTCATGGACAAATTCTTCCCATTAGCATCTGATCTACTTTCCCCAAGAGGACTGTTCTATCTAGTTACCATAAAAGAAAACAATCCAGGTAATAAAGACCATTTATTTTTTTTAACTATTTACTTTGCTGGGAACAGAAAAACAAAGTATAAAGTAGCAATAGCTAATCAACAAAAATTCATGTAAAAGGAGGTTTTTAATAGGTAAAATAATCATATTTTATTGGGTCCGTTATAGTGGCTCATGGCTGTAATCATAGCTAATCAGGAGATAGAGGTCCAGAGGATTTTATTGTTTTATTTATATTTTTGCTGGCCAGCCGAGGAAAAAGTCATTGAGACCTCCATCCCAGTTCATAAGCTGGACATGGTAGTATCAAATACCTGAACACCTCAGTCTGATTAGAATTCTCAGGAACACCTTAAAAATACAAAGTGAAGGGGGCTGGGAAGGTGGCTCAGTGGTAGAGCACTTGCCTTGCATGCCTGAGGCCCTGGGTTCGATTCCCCAGCACCACATAACCAAAAAGAAAAAAAAGCCGGAAGTGACGCTGTGGCTCAAGTGGTAGAGCGCTAGCCTTGAGCTGAAGAGCTGAGGGACAGCACCCAGGCCCAGAGTTCAGGCCCCACGACCGGACCCAAAAAAAAAAACAAAAAACAAAGTGAAGTTCAAGTTTTTTATAATAGACATTTACTTGATATGCATTGTTTTGTTAGATGAATATAACTGGTAAATAATCTGTCATCTTATAAAAGTGTAGTGTGGTCATACATATCACAAGTATTTTAATCTAATCTTCTAATTTTCATTCCAGGAGAAATTTTGAAAACACTAAACACCAAAGGTCTCCAGGGGACCACTGCACTTTCCAGGCAAGCAGGACAAGAAATCCTCTCAGTCCTCAAGTTCACCAAGTCATAATATATTGGGAACCACTGGAAACTGAATGCACGCAGTATATTTAGAAGCTGAAGTCATTCTTTTTTTTTTTTTTTGGCTCCGGTCGTGGGGCCTGAACTCTGGGCCTGGGTGCTGTCCCTCAGCTCTTCAGCTCAAGGCTAGTGCTCTACCACTTGAGCCACAGCACCACTTCTGGCTTTTTTCTTTTTGCTTATGCGGTGCTGAGGAATCGAACTCAGGACCTCATGCATGCAAGGCAAGCGCTTTACCACTGAGCCACCTTCCCAGCCCTGAAGTCATTCTTTTGCTTATGGAATTTTACCAGAAGTTTGTCACCAAGAGGTCAAAAGATGAGTCATTCACTTTCATCAGGAAATTCACCAGGAAATCAAGACAGTAAATATAAATATACATATTTTTATAATTTACATTTTATACATGTTATATTTATAGATGAGGTGTTCATTTCATCATTACTTATAATATCAAAACAGTGAATCCTCCTGTCAATCAGAAATGAAATTGGTTAAATTTCAATACACAGCCATTAAACATGAGTCAGGTCTGTATATTTTGAACCAGAAGCATCCATGATGCCTTACTTAAAGTAAAAAGTGTAAGTTGCAGAAGTTTTTATCCTGAATGTGTGTTTTTTTAAGGAAGAGAACTTCAGAAGATAAATAACATGGTCTTTAACTCTGGTCGTGCCCTCTGGATTTGTACAGTGATGATGTTGGACACTGACAGTGGATTTCATCAGTGGTGATGTAGTTGCAGCTGGTGTGCCAGCCATACTTTTCATAACACTGGTACTGCAGTGTTTGAATCAAGTAGGTAGGCTTTTCTGGTAGGAGGCTGGCATTAGGAAGGAAGTCTGACTAGTAACACGGTCTTCCACTGTGGGGTACAGTGATATGGGACATGTTGAAATACTCCTCCAAGGTGAAGGGTAAGTGGTTGCATTAGTCACTCCTAAACCAAAAGATAAAAAAAAAAAATGTAGATTTTGGGGGTTTTGGGGACAGTATCTCTTTTGGTATAATGCCGGCTCATTTATCAAGGGACCCCAAAAGAATGTTGGTGAGACTCCCAGAAGAGAAGAAGAGAAGGTTCTGTGACTGGTCCTGGCTGCTTTGCAGGATGCTGTGCCCGTTAGGCCATATGATCGTGCACCTGTGGCCTCCTGTATTCCCTATGAAGCTAGAGACAAGTTATTTGCTGTTAAGCCAGCAGACAGTGGTGTGACACATGTTGACTGGCACAGTCAACACAGCACAACAGAATCAGTGGTCCAAAGCAGTTCTGAAATTCATCTGGGCAGATGTTGGAATAGTTTTGATTAGGAATCAGTCCTTCCAAGATGAAATAACCATGGCTCTCAATTCTATCTTCAAAAGTTTTGGTTCTGCCAAGATTTTACTGTTCTGTTTTCAGTACATGTAGCATGTCTTTGTCTGAGTAGGTTTTCCAGGCTAGTTTCTCCAGATAGAGACCCAAAGTCCTTTTATTTTGTGTTCCCTGTATGAGAATAGGTGATATTTGTCTCTGTCATTCTGGCTTATTTCATTTTATACATAATTTCCAGTTCCATCCATATTCTAGTAAGCAATATAAGTTTGTTCTTTATGGATGGCTCCACTGTGTATGTGTATTCCACATTTTCTGCATTCATCAGTTGATGAGCCAGGGTGATTCAAAAATTTAGCTATTGTGAGTAGTATTGCCATAAATATGGGTATGCCAGTATCTTTTGAATATAAGCCAGGAAAGGCAGGGCAGGTTCATATAGTAGTTCTATTTATCAGGTTTTTTTTTTTTTAATGGATGTCCAGACTGATTTCCATAGTGGTTGCACCTAATTTACATTTTACTACAATATATTAATTATACTTCAACATTAGCTGTATTTTCAAGACAAGCATTTCTCTACCTTGGCAACTTAAGAGATTAATGCAGAATATTAAATGGTAAAGAACTTCTTAAGTGTCATATTATTTGATTTTGAGGTGTACCTTTAAGATAGAGGACCTTTTATGACTCAACAGTATTACCTTTGATCTTTCTGAGGTATATGCATGCATGTTGGTGCTTAAGTTTAAATCCATGGAGCCTAATATAGAAGCTAGAGAAATTAAAGTGAAAGAGTTTAAATCTAGAAAATGTACTACATAGGCCACTTAGAATCCTTTTTCTTACAGATTGAACAAGATTTTAATTATAAACAAAAGTAAGTGCAATCTCCAAAAACAGACAAAAGAAAATTCCAAAAATATTTCTTGGATGTCACCAAGATCTTATATAAGGGTAAACAAGCATGTCCTTTTGAAAACAAACTCAGAGATGCCACTCTAGATCTCCCAAATGCCACCAACATCTTAAAATTCTGGCCTTATAGAGAAAAAGATAAAATCTAGACCTCAAGGTAAGATCACTTATCCACATAAAAATAAGACCAAAAGTGTCCTTATTTGCTAAGAACAGGAAACTCTGATTAATGATATCTGCAAACTGAAGAGCAACGGGGAAAAAATTAGTGTCCTATCTTGTCTAAAATCCAGGACAACTTTACAAAATCCAGTAACACTACCTCAGGGGAATTAGCACTTAACAGGTCCCAACATTCTTCTAAATTCCTATAGAGGATGTTCTATATATATAGATGGACAAAGTAAGGACATGTCAGCTGGGCACCTGTGGCTCATGCCTGTAATCCTAGCTACTCAGGAGGCTGAGAGAATTGAGGTTTGAAGCCAGCCAAGGGAAAGTCTGCGAGACTTATCTCCAGTGAACCACCAGAATACTGGAAGTGGCACTGTAGCTCAAGTGGTAGAGTGCTAGCCTTGAACAAAAGAAGCTTGGGACAAGAGGCCAGGCCCAGAGTTCAAGCCCCAGGACTAGAAAAAAAAAATTGTTAAAAAGGACATACCACTTCTGGGGCTGGGAAGGTGGCTCAGTGGTAGAGCTCTTGCCATGCATGCATGAGGCCCTGGGTTCGATTCCTCAGCACCACATAAGCAAAAAAGAAAAAAGCGGGAAGTGGCGCTGTGGCTCAAGTGGTAGAGCACCAGCCTTGAGCTAAATGTGAAGGACAGTGCCCAGGCCCAGAGTTCAGGCCCCACGACCGGACCCCAAAAAAAAAAAAAAAAAAGGACATACCACTTCTAAGTGTAGCATGACAGAACATTAGATCCCTCAGAGTAGAATCACAAAAATAGTGGAAATTTCTCCAGATTAGCTGTTGTTGGGGAACATTATCAAGATATACCAGTTTCTTCTTGACAGAAGGTAGGGTGTCATCTACATATGCTCAGAGAAGTGTATCTAAAAACATACCTACTTTCTAAGAGATGCAACAACACATCTAAAGAATTCACTAGAATCTCAGAACTCTTATTAACAAGACTCTAGTCAAGTATTTGGAACTGAGCTTAAGGGTCTAGACCAAGTCTTGAGATCATCATAAATCTTTTTGTCTATAGTTAGGTTTGTACCATTAGTACTATGACCACTAGCCATATGTGACTATTGACATTTAAAATATGTGTGAATAAGAAACAAAAGTTATCTTAAGATGGACATTTGATCCAGTTATTAAAGTTATCAGTGTGCTTAGAACAAGTGGGGTATGTTAATTTACTGTTTCAACCATAAATTTTCTGAAATCTAAATATATACCAAGTATCTTTAATAAAAATTTCATACCCCTATTGAAGTACATTGTCAATTTAAGCTGCACACTAATTCCCAAAAACTTATAAAATGTGTACAATTTAGAGTTAATAATTTTTATATTTATTACATGTTGAAATAATATTTGGGATATACTAGGTTAAAAATGTTAAAATTATTTCACTTATTCTTACCTATTTAATATGCAGACTCACAAAATGTAAAATAACACATGTGGCTCACATTATGTTTCACTGAATGGTGTTTGATTAATCCATGCTCTCAGGCAAATCTACTACCCAGGGGACAATTGGCAAAGTCTAGACATTTTGTTGTTACAACCAGATTGGTGCACTGGGATATAGTGGTTAGACACTAAGGATGCTGCTAAACATGCAACAATAGACAGGGGTCTTCCACAAAGCAGATTTTGCAGCTGAACATGCCAGGAATACTGAAAGTATGAAATTCCTCTGTGGATTTATCAGCAGCTCAGCACACATAAAAAATGCTCTGTGTATTACAGCCTATCCGTCTACTAATGACTTACCTTCCTTTGCACTGAAGCCTAGACTTAATTAGCTGAGTTCAACTGTAAACTTGATTGTACAACCCACAATTAATATCAGTATGGCAGTGGCTCGGGCCACTGTTTTGATAACAGAGGTTTGGGCCAGGGCAGTTAGCCAAGACAAAGAAATAAAAGGCATCCAGAGTGGATAACTTCATCTGTTTAACACTCATGTAGAAAATTCTAAGGACTCTATTAAAATCTGAGTTCAACAAGGTTGTACAATACAAAATACATGAAAATAAACTTATTGGTACTACAAAAAATACACTATTGTCATTTGCTGCTCATTTTTCATAGACTACAAATACCCTTATGTGATAACGGAAAAACTCATGCTTGTGACTCTGTAGTTTGGTAAGCAGACATGGCTAGAGCTGGTGAATTCTCAGTGATTGTTAGTAGGTTTTAATAGGGGAACGGAAGCCGGGCGCTGGTGGCTCACGCCTGTAATCCTAGCTACTCAGGAGGCTGAGATCTGAGGATGGTTCAAAGCCAGCCCAGGCAGGAAAGTCCATGAGACTCTTATCTCCAATAAACCACTAGAAAACCAGAAGTGGCGCTGTGGCTCAAGTGAAAGAGCGCTCGCCTTGAGCTGAAGAGCTTAGGGACAGTGCCCAAGCCCAGAGTTCAAGCCCCATGACCAACAAAAAAATAATAATAATAATAATAAATAAATAAAAGGGGAAAGGGCCAGGCACTGCTGGCTCATGCCTGTCATCCTAGCTACTCAGGAGGCTGAGATCTGAGAACTTCAGTTCAAAGCCAGCCCTTGCAGGAAAGTTGGTGACACTCATCTCCAATTAACGACTAAAAAGCTGAAATCAAGCTGTGCCTCAAATGGTAAAGAGGAACCTAGAGCAAAAAGTAAGGATAGCACCCAAGCCACAGGAGCAGCACAAAAAACACCAATCCACAGTAACATGTTATATGAAATGTTATGTATAACATATATAGTATATATCAAAACTACTTGAAATAAAAGGTTTCCAGGGTAAACATCCTGTTCTACCAAGCCCTTTGGGCAAGGAACTTTCATAAGATAAAAAAAAAAAAATCACCGGGCACCAGTGGCTCTTACCTGTAATCCTAGCTACTAAGATCTGAGGATCCTGGTTCAAAGCCAGCCCAGGCAGAAAAGTCCATGAGACTCTTATCTCTAATAAACTACTCAAAAAGCCAGAAGTGGTGCTGTGGCTCAAGTAATAGAGCACTAGCCTTGACCACAAAGAGGCTCAGGGACGGTGCCCAGGCCCAAAAAGTTCAAGCCCTAGGACCAACAACAACAACAACAAAAATCCCAACCCTACAGAGGTTTAAGTATTTCGTTACAGATACACATTTTTGCAAATTAGGAAAAAATAAAATTAAGAATAATTAGGTTGTAGACAAGACCTACAAAAGCACCTGGTCTCACTAGGTACATGAATGACCACGTGGCTCTTCTAAGTTTGTTATCTGTCTCATTCTCTTTTAAGACAACCCATTATAAAACAAAAGTAATTGGTCATATTAAATCAGAGGAATTGAAACTGTAACGGTAGGACACACCCTTATGTGCTTCCTTGCTGGTGTTGGTGGTGCAACAGGATTTCTTCTTCCAGACGTTACATTGATCATGCAACTTGTCTTCAGGGCCTGGCTTTTCCTTGTGGTGTTTGGCGTCCATGCAGACAAAGAGAGAATGAGGCTTGCCTTGTGGGCTGCATGTAAGGCATCACATACCAGCAGGAGCAGAAACTGTGTGCTCATGTGCCTGGCCATGTCTGTTTCTTCAGTTAACCAATAAAAAGTCAGAAGGGGAGTTATGGTTCAAGAGGTACAGCACCAGTCTTAAGCTGAAGGTCTATCTGTCTGAGAGTCATTGTTGTCCAAGCTTTTCTCCAATACTGTTTTTAGCAAGATGCTGGTGGCTCACACCTGTAATCCCAGCTACTCAGGAGGTTGAGATCTGAGGACAGAGGTTCAAAGCCAAACTGGGCAGGGAAGTCTGAGACTTACCTCCACTAAACTACCAAAAAAAGCCAGAAGTGGCACTGTAGCTCAAGTGAGAAGGTGCCAGCCTTGAACAAAACTCAGGGCCAGGACCCAGACCCTATGTTCAAGAAACAAGTAAGTCTTACTTTTAGATGGGAGGGCGGGGAAATGAGAGAGAATGATAAAGGAAGAAGCTATATGCAGGTATGTAAATAGCATAGTGAAGAATATAAACAATGTATGTTCAAAATGACAAAAAAAAAGTCACTGAAATGCCTTTTGGTGAGAGGATTAGTAAACTACAGTAAGATACCATAACTGAAAACTTTTTTAGCCACAACTTTTTATGGATGCAGCTGTGGTAAAATGTAAAAAACAGGAAGGAGCTGTCCCAACTTGTGAATGGTAAGCTAAAAAGGAGGAGAATGCACCAGGGAGGAAATACAAAAGAGTAGCATTTTATTTCTTTAAAAATCAGAAGCAAATATGGCAAAATAGTATGTGAAGAAGGCATTGATATTGTTTTTCTATATATTTGAAATATTTTGTAATTAAAATTAGAATTTTAATGAGCACATATGGTACAACAATAAAATGATAACACTAAGTATTCACAACACAAAAGTATACCAAGTAATAACATTATTTAAGCCACAGAACCAAATGTATATACATTAGAGCCTGACATACATAAGAGCCAAAAGTGAATTTTAAAGTGGTAATTTACTTTGAGCTTTTAAATTAATAATTTAAATCTCATGCAACTTTAGTATTTCCTTATGCTACAATTTTAATAGCTTCTGCCCTTTCTGTCAAGAGTTGTCAAAGCTATATAAATAAAATTTTATTGTAGTATTCTAAATTCCAGTCCTATTTTGGAAAACTTTTTCCTTAGCATATAAACAGTAACAAGCTTTACAATTATAGTTACAAGTCTTTAGAGAAATGTATTGAGTCCTAAGTAGGAAGAGCAGCTATTTAATTATAACTACTTAATTACAGTGTTCCATCAAGAATCTGATACCATAATCCCTCTATGGAAAAATAATGATTATTCCCTTTGTTTTCTACTTAGGCTTTGGGTCAGAAGAAACAATACTAGAAAGGTTATAATATGTTTCATTGTAAAACCATTTTTAAAAGGGAAAGAAAATAATTTTACAGAGGAGTAACACAATCCTTTGGGATTGCTATGTCAGAGACAGAGATAGAAGATATTTTAAGAAAGGGTTAAGAAGAGGTAGTAAGATTTTGCTGTCCTTTACTTACTGTCTCTTTGAACCTTAGGTCTAGAAGATAATAAATATTACACAGAAAAAATGAGACGAAACTGGTTATAACAAATACAACTCAACAGATCTGCAACTCATAGGTATATTTCACTCTCAACTATGATTTCTGAGCACATTCATACTATAGCAGTAGTTGTCACATTACCTAATTGATGGTAAACAATAATTTTATTTGATATGGGTAGCTTTTTGCTAATTAATTTTT